TAATTCTGAACCTGGATGAATATTTATATGATATTAAAAAACCTAATTGGAATAGAAGTGGGACTTCTATCAAAATAATAAGTTAGGCATGAATTTTTTGAAAATCACATAAGGGGTCAACCCCTTCAACTAGGTGGCGACACCTTTTGTTAAGCGTAGAATAAAATTATTGTGTTGGGTTTTTGGTCTTCTAAGCAATTTTTGTTAATGATAAAATGATAGTTTTGGTCCATAACTTTTGAACTCCATACAACTTAATCCTTAGTTTTTTGATCTCTACAATTTGCTCTTAAGAATTATAATTTCTATGAATTAAGTCCTTTCCTACATAAAGAATGAAACTTATGTAAAATCAAGTAAAATCTCATAAAACTCATTCAAATATCAATAATATCAAGACAAAAATTTCATATTAATATCTATGTAAATTCATCTCATCATGGGGCATGTCAATAGTTTTAGTAAGGATTTACAAATCAATTATCTACAAGGAACTGTTAGCAATGGGATTGAACTTAATAACAAAGTTGACATGATGTAATCTTATCAATTCATCCAATCCTTGTGACAAAATTTTATCAATTCAACCAATTCATTTGAACATTGTTTTTTAGTTATCTTATGAATATTGCTTTTTCTTTTGTAATTGACCTTAGAGTGCTTAAAAGAGACTATATAGTACTTCGTTTTGAAGCAACTAGACACTGGTGAGCTTATTAAGTGGATCTTAAAAGCAAAACAATGGTGCTTTCCCCAAACATTCTTTGGTTTTTAAGCTCTACCAAACATGTGCTTGTGAATATCCCTTTTTTGCTATTAACAAAAATTTCTATATCCATCATTTAATGGATTATTTAGCCCATATATAGGTAATTGAATCTTGAAAGTTACCTCTTGCTCCCTCCATATCAATACAAATGCATATCCCAACATCACTACCACCATTTATCATGCCTTTTTGAAGAAATGAAGAAATTAAGTCTTATTGAAGACAAATGGTATCAAAAGCAGTTTGAGATCAAAGAGGAGATTGCAAAGCCATTGAAGTCCTTACGTATAGGGTCATTGGTTGTAAGACATGCCTCCTAGAGGTTGACTTCTAAAAGGGTGAGGCGGACATGAATGAGTTGGAATTTATAAGTGAAGCACATTAGATGTAGACAATAAGGGTGGTCTTGGAAGTGCTTAAGGATGATTGCCAATGATATGTGCTCAGACCTATTTATGGCATTTTTGAAGCAATATAATATGGGTAGCAGTAACAAGGATAGGTTGAAGGAGTCTTATAAAGTCAGCTAGATTAGAATTGTCTTTCTTTTCTTAAATTGTTTAGCATTTCATTTTTATTTGATGTTGTTGTTAGGATTTAAGTCGCAAGCTATTAAGGGATTCTAAAATCAATATATTTATATATGCTTTATTAGTGGGACCATGTTATAGGAACTAAGGAATTTGAGTATTGTAACAAAAGGAAAATTGAGTTTCTATTTAAGCTCAAATTGGAAGTAAAATGGTTCCTGTGTCTTCAAATCTTAGCTTTGGGTATTTTACAATTTGTAAAACCTTAAAACTTGAAAAGGAGAAAAAGACAACAAAATTACAAAACTTGGCAAAAACCAATAAAAAAGAAACCCTTGGCAGAACCCCTAATTTGCTGATGCACTTGTTAATACCAACATGAATTTCCTCTTTACACAAACATCCAAAAAAAAAATATATATATATATATATAGAAAAAAAGGGGGATAAGACACCTATTTCTCTTTAAACTCCCAGCAGCAGGCCAAGTCAATCCAGGGTGGTAGTATATTAACACCTCATGCCAACACCCATTCCAAGTTCACTTAAGTTGCTAAGAAATAAAATCCAATCCCTTGAGCAACTCATTCCAGTGTTTCTTAAGAAATTTTAATCTTTAATCATTCATAGAACGTTGTATAGTCATTATATAGTCCATTAGTGTCCCCCACAATAAACACCTTAATTGAAAAAAAGAGTGAGAAAAACCTCATCAATCAATTTCTCCTTCCTCGACATCCTTTGTGCTTATGGGCTCTACAACACTTTGGGGTGGCATTATCATCCTCTTCCTTGTCTGCCTTCATTGTAACCCTAGCCATTCCAAGGGATTCCCATGCGGTTTAAAGTTGCTCAACCTGTTTTGAGAATGATTGAGGTTGGTTTCCTTTGTGAAACTACGAAAATGTTCATCATTGTTGGCTCTGAGCATTTCTAGATCTTCCATACATTGACTATTCTCATTGATAACCACCATCTTTTCCATATGAAATTATCATGATTTTAATTGCATTAGGCTTTTTGCTTCCACTACAAAAGGCACTAATCAATAAATAATGAAGTGCACAAGTTTACTTCTAGAAATGCTTGCCATTGAGCTTTTCTCTGTTGTTCAATTTCCCTTTTGAGTGCTACTTAGGCTTCTGCTTCAGCCTTTTTCTTGGCCTTTTCAACAACTTTGACCTCTACTTGATATTGAGGTAGATCTAATTACAAAGTAAACAAGAAAAAAATGTGGTTCAATTCCTTAAAACAAAATTTCTTAACTCCATTTAAACAAATCCACATCAATATAGATAAACTTTAATAGCACAGTTACAATTTTGAACCTCTTTTTGCTTCTATTCTAGTTCTTCCCTCTAAATCTGCAATTTTTCAAGACTTTGCTTCTCACCATACATTGTGTTACCATTCATTAGGTCAAACCCTCTTAATAACAAAGAATATAGTAGTTATAGCCCACCTTTTGAAGTGCCTTTTCTCAAGCTTAAAATATAGTATCAACAAATACGTTCCTTAATAAATTTGTATGATAAAGCTTTTCTAGGGAGACTTGCCTCTCAGATTGAGCATTTTCCCCTAATATATTACAACAATGTGGATGTTTCATGGCTCAAAAGTGACAACAAGAATTCTTCTTAAAAATTATGCTTGCCCTTTTGATTGTCATCTACCTCAATAACAATTGATTTACCCTAGGCATTAAGCTCAACTTGTCCCAACTTGTTTAAATATTTTGTATAAAGAAACTGAAAATTAGAACTTTTAGTGAAAGTAGCAAAGAAGCTTTAGTGCTTTACCATTGAAAAAGATAGTTCAAATACATATATGATAGATGAGCTGAGAAACTCATAGTTTTTAATATTAGGAACACCAATATTAACCTTTTCTTTGTCCAAATTTACTCTCGCATTCAAATTTCCCTAACATAAAAGGAAATATGAAAAACAATTAAGTAATAAACTAAATTTCATAAGTGGTCACAAAGGAGGAGAGAGTTATAAAAACTTCTCAAACAATTAACTAAAATGTTAAAATTCACCTTTTTAGCACTAACAAGAAGTAAAGCTTTAGCAGCATTTGATTCATTGTTAGAATCTGAATTTGAATAGAAAAATATAAAATAAAAATTTGAGTTAGATCTTAAAAGAGGGGTGAAAAAGGTGAATATATTAATAAAAACCAACCAGACATACACTTCAACCTTATATCTTCATGTAGATGGCTCTAATTAATCACATGAAGTACCAAATGACAAGAATATAACTCATGGCTTAATGCACATGTTAAATACAAATGTCATTTGACACGCATAGACAATTTCTCACAAAAGTAGTGAATGACTACAAGCTTGTAAACTATTTACATTGTCTACATATAATATCATAAAATGTTAGTTGGTCATGCTAATACCCATTCAGCTTAAGCTTTTGTTTGCAATTGCTAAGCTCTTTACACAAGCATACATTTAAATAGCCCAGAACATAATCATAGATATGTTATTAGCACAACAGAGATCATGCTTTTGTACCTCTTGCTAGACTTAATTTTGCTCCAAAAAGAGAAAGGGAAACAATAAAGAAAAATAGAGACCACCCAAAGAAAAAAAGATCAACCACAACAAGAAATCCAGAAGGCACCAATGGCATACATATACAGAAAGTTATTGAGGCAATACTTATGTTGTAGTTGTGGGCTAGGTTAAAGGCTCTCCTTATTTTAGCATGTTTGAGTACTATGTTACTTGTTTTATGAATAATTTTCTTTTGTTAATTAAGAAAAAAGTCATAAAGCAATAAACAAAAGGCATAATTAACCATTTAAAAAGAGAATTTCTTTTTTAATGGTCTAACTATATGAATGAAAAAAATCTCCAAATAAAGATGTATAGTGGCTTGTCAAAACCCTAAATAAGTAATTCTAGTTAAGAAAAGCTAATATAAGACTATTTAAGCATGGTTAAAACCTCATTTTGGTCCCTGAACTATTGTATGGACCTCGATTTAGTCTCTGAACTAAAAAAATCCCTAATTTAGTCCTTACTGTTTACCAATTTGACCCCAATTTGGTCCTTTCATTAAAAATCCAATGACATGTCCCATTAACTAACGAGAGCATGATGACATGTCAAAATAGTGTGACACATCAGATCTACACATGGAAAAAAGGTGACATGTCTAAAAACACGCCAGATTCCCACTTAGTAAAAAAATAAAACTTGGACCCCACCTCCTGCCTAAACTCACTATCTTCTCCCCTTCTTCCCATTCGAACCCTAGAAGAGCAGAGCTACAAAAAAGCCAAAAGTCCCCTTTTCCTTCCTACTTTTTGTTGGCGAATCTTCGATCTTTCACTTTCGAATCTTCATGATTAGTGTTGCAAGAGGTTGAAGTCAAAGAACAATAAAGTCTTCCAACATCTTAGATGTTGATGTCGACCTAGATCTCAATGGGGATGAGTTTAAACCTTTTTTCACTTTATTTTCTTTCGAGATGTGTGAAGGTGTTGAATGATTTCCTGAAAGCAATTTAAAAGTTGTTTTTTAGTATATGTTTCTTGAGTTGGTAGCGAGAAGGACATTGGGTCCCCACTTGATCTCTTTGTTTTTGTATGGGTTAGGTTGACTACAATAGTGATTTCTGTTTTTTCTTAGTTTGACTATGTAAAATATAATTGCATGACAGATTGGTTGTTCAATTGTCTTTAATTTTTTCTTTTTTTTTTTGAATAGAGAGATAAGAAATCAAACAACACTGCCAAAATGTTTTTGCATGTTGGTGGTAAGTTAGTGCAAAACAATGGCCTTAAATATGTTGGTGGGGAGTGCCATGTTTGGAATGTAGACCTAGAAAAAATAACAGTGTGGGAGTTTTATAGAAAGGTTGAGTTTTGTAAGTATGATCCTGATATGGTAGATGGGATATGGTATCTACAACTTGAAAAAACTTTAGAAGATGGCTTAGTGCGAATTGTCAATGATGATTCAGTAAGGGATGTGCTAGATATTATAAAGGTTGTCAATGTTATCCACATTTATATACTTCATATCCTTGACTTTGCATATGTAGAAGAAGAAGTGCTTCTTTTACCAACTCTTGGTGATGATTAGAAGGAGGAAAATGACAATGTAGGTGACAATGTCCAATCTAATGTTACTGAGGAAAGTGTTGGCATTGATGGGGCTGCTACTAATGTTACTGAGGAAGGTGTTGGTGCTGAAACTCATGATGGGGATGCTGTTGGTGCTAGTGTTGAATCTGATGATGGTGAGGAAGATCATATTATTGATGTTCCTAAGTTAATAGATAGTGAAGTTGAAGAGATGCTGCAAGCTAGAAAGAATGTTGAGTTTTTTAGCAACATTCATGACAACATTGAGAAAAGAATTTGAACCACCAACAGTTGGTGTAAAGTATTTTGATGCACATACTACAGGTATTTATTCTAAACTAACTTCAATGAGTTTTGAGTTCTTGACTATGTGACTTTCTTGAATGGAGAATCTACATTGTTTAGCAAGTTCTAGTGTTGGAGGACCAAGTACACAACATTTTGATGAAGCTAATAAGATAGGGAGTGATGAAGAAGATAGCTATCTCTCAACATCTAACGACGAAGGGAGTGAAGTCGAACATGGTAAAAGGAGACAGGCTATGCATAAGGTTTACCAAGAGCCAAGAGATGATGAGACTCTTGACATTAGACTAGGGATGATTTTTACCAACAAGCAACAATTTGGGGATGCTGTGAATAAGTGGAACCTCAAGCAGAGGCGCGATATTAAATGGATAAAAATTGACAATATAAGATGTAGGGCATCATGTGTGAAGGCACCAAATTGTCCATGGTAGACTTATTTGGCAATGGACCAACCAACTGAATCTTGGATGGTGAAGACATTTGTGTCTGAGCATACATGCCATTGGCTATTAAAGAAGAACAAGCAATGTAGCTCAACAGTAGTTTCAAAGTACTTGGTGAGGCACAAAGGGTTTACTGCCTTGTACATGAGGCTAACTGACATTTATAATCTCATTAAGAAAGAGTTAAGTGTTGAGTTATCTCAACGTCAACTGAAAAAGTCGAAGGAGAAGATTGGGAAGGCATTTGAAGGTGATTGCAAGATGGAATATGGCAAATTATGGGATTATGTTGTAGAGCTTCAATTGAAAGACCTTGCTACCTCTATCATTATTGTGACATCAAGATCAACTACAGATTTAAATCCTGTTTTCTTAAGGATGTACATCTGTTTTTCTGCAATGAAGTTGGGATTTATAATTGGCTATAGGCGTAGGCGTGTTGTTGGCCTCGATGGTCCTTTCTGTAAAGGAGCATTCAATGAAGTATTGTTGGTTGTTGTTTCTAGGGATGCTAATACCCAGATGTTTCCACTTGCATGGGCAGCCGTGGAAGGTGAGACCACAGAGACCTAGATTTGGTTCCTTGAGGAGTTGCAAAAAGACATGATGATTAGATTAGGGAGTCATTTCACATTTATTTTTGACCAATAGAAGGTATATTCCCTAGTTTTGTTATGTTTATGAATCTTTCACTTTTCCCAAATTGGCCCCTGAACTTTGCCAATTTGGGAAAAATAAATTATTTGGTAATTATATGCACTCATTGAGAACATGTGATTCCAGGGCCTGATTCATGTGATTGAGGATCTATTTCTAGATGCTGAGCATAGAACATATGCTAGACACAAATATGCCAACTTTCAAAAAAATAATGGAGGCAAAGAATTGAAGGTAGCATTCTGGGAATGTGTTAAGGTTAACATTGAACATAACTTCAACAAGGCATTAACTGAGTTAGGTCATATTAAACCAAGTGCAGTCCCTGCCATCATGAACACACACCCTAGGTTTTGGTCAAAGGTTTTCTTCAAAGAAGATAGTAAGTGCAATGTTGTTGATAACAACATGTGCAAGGTTTTGAATGGTTTAATACTAGAAGCAAGGCACAAGGTATTATTCTCTATGTTAGAAGACTTGCGGGCAATGTGAGGACGGTGGCTAGGAGAGAATATGGTAGCAGCAAATTTGTTGGGATGTTTGTCCCAAAATTTGAGCAAAAATTGTTGCTGCCCGAAAAGGTAGCAGGAGGTGACACTTTTATGGCCTAGTTGTGACGGGTATGAAGTTGATGATAATGGGGAGTGATGTCTTGCCCCAAAATTAATACCTTTTGGCTAAGCGGTTGTTGTAGCGTAGCTTTAGGTGTCGAATCCACAAGGAAGCTATATTAAATCAACAAAAAAAGTTGTCACAATGAAAAATTAAATTAAAAGATAAACTCTAAAATTAAGAATAAAAATATTTAAATAAAAGATGATAATTATAAAAGATTGAAAACAATATTATGATGAACAAGACTTCAGAATTCACTTAATTGATTTGTTTAACTGTTATAAATTTTGATTCCTATTTATTACTAAATTGCATATTTCACATCCCAAACAAACAATTAGAAGATTTAACTATGAAGGCCAATAATAATAACTAATGTACTTATTTTGAGAGAAATTAATTTCAATGAAGAACAAACTGATTTATCATTATGAGCTATCTGAGAGCGACAATATATCTAATCGATAATACTGTAGTAAAGAATCAACCCGCAAAACAAATCTATCAATCAATTATATCCTAACAAATCACACATGAAAAGAGCATGACTAATCTTATATGAAATTTGATAAATATACTTTTCAGGATTTTCAAATCTAAAAATAATTAATCTTCTCTCAAAAATAAAATTAAACAACAAAATCCATGAAGGAATCAAAATAAAATAACAAGTCAAACTCCTCAATTAAGATCCCTCTTAGTCTTGTTGAAAGTTTAGTTGTCTTTTGACATAATTCTCGAACCTTAGAGAAGAAAATAGAAGCCTGGTAACAGCCTCTCCAACCCTTGAACCCCCCTCTAGAATAACTTGAATGGATATTTATAAGATCTTAGAAACCCAAATTATAATGGCTGTGGGGCCCACATCACAATAATTCGACAGATATGATTTGGCTAAAAAATCGCACAAGGGGTTGACACTCTTTAAAAGGTGCTGGTACTTTGAGTGGAGCGCCTACTGCATCCTTCGTGTCGGGTTTTTGGCCTTTTGTGCAATTTTGGTTAATGGCTGAATAACAGTCCTGGTCATTGACTCTTGGATTCCGTGCTAGTTGATCATCATCTTCTTAATCTTTGCAATTTGCTCCTTAATCAAGAATGAAGAAAATCTCACTTAAGCCTTCAAACTTCTAAATTTGATCCTTGAACCCTCATCTTTCTGGCTCTTTATATTTGAATCCTTTTCTTCTAATTCTCTCCATTTAGTCATCAAACCTTTAATCACCAAAATTTTGCACAACATGAATAGAATAAACAATTATGAAATTACTTGTAGAAAAATATAACTCTTAAACCCATAATTCCACAAATGTCAATGGTTAAAGCACACTTTAAATATACATTTTTATGCTTTCATCAGGGAGGCAACACCAACGAGGGGTTGGATCAAGTGGTAAGCGGCTTGTTCCAGCTTGAGCAAGGTCTCGAGTTCGAGACTTTGTGTATGCAGCAGCCTTCGTTGGGAGACTCACCCACCATTTCCAGATGCGCGACACAGGTCGATCTGGATTAGTCAGGGCGAAGTCTCGAATACCGGACGGGAAATCGAAAAAATTAGGGAGGCAACTTATATTGTAAATGTAGAGAGAAAGACTTGCACTTGTAGAGTTTGGAATATGACTGGAATACTCTATAGGCATGCAGTTACTATGATAAACCATAGACAAGAGAATGATGAGGACTATGTAGCACACTGGTATAGCAAGCAAATGTTCATGTCAAGTTATGAATATGAAATCCTAGTCATAGAAGGAATGAACCAATGGAAGGAAACTAAAATGCCACCTATTCAACCACCAAATCCAACAAAGATAACTAGCAGGCCTAAGAAGAAACGAGCTTTAGAAGAATGGGAGGGGAAAACATCTGTTAGCAGAAGAGGGAGGTTGATGACCTGTCAAAAATGCTTTAAAAGGGGGCACAACTCAAGGTCATGTAAAGGAGTGTCACCAAACATTGTAAGTTAAATTTGTAATTAATTATGGTCAATTCTCTATGTGTTGTATACAAAATGAGGATTAAGCAACTCCCCAAGAACAATAACCTCAAGGTGTTGATGAAAACGTTGCAGGTAATGTGGAAAACCTAATGAGCCAACTAAAGGATCCTATTAGTTAAGTTCTTAATGAGGCACCTGCACCAAAGAGATTCAGGCAAACAGCAAGAAGAAAATAGAAGATGGTAAGTTTCTAAACTAATCAATGAAAGCATTTTAGGATATGCTAGATATGCTAACAAATGCACCTTGATTCTTTAGTGTGAAAGAAGCTCAAAAAATGCACAACCAAGGAAGAGGGCTAAAAAGGACCATGCAACAACAACCACAAACCCCCCCCCCCCAATCACAGGCAACAACTAACAACCAAAGAAGCCACAACAACCAAAGAAGAAACCCTGCATGGCTACAAATGCATCAAATTGAGATTGATGAAGATTGATTTCTTTTTTTTCTTTTTTCTTTTTTTGTATTTTGTTAGGTTGTATATGCTGGGGCTACCATATTTTTTGTGTGGGGTTGTATTTTGTTAGGTTACGATCATGGTTGGTAAATGTAGTTATTGGTTTAATGTGCAGTCTATAATTGTATATTTTGCTTATGTTTTTATTGCAAAATTTGCTTTTTGTTTGTATGTATGACATTGCATTTATGTAAGGATTGTAAACACTGCATTTTGGAATGGTATGCACTTTGTGTAAGTGCTTATTTTCTCAAATTTATGTACATTCACATACAACATTTATAACAGATTTCAACAACACAGAATCTTCGATATTATGTTAGGTTTTAAGCAAAGAGGCGCATTACCATTGGTTTAGACAAAAAGAAAAGCCTTTGTAGGCCAATAAACGCAAAAGAACATGGATTCTAGTGCAGCCTCTGTAGGTCAATAAACTGACAATAACCTGGATTCTAGTGCAACCTCTGTAGGCCAATAGACATACCAATAGCAGATACAACACTTAGCATGCAAAACACACACAAAATGATAGAAACTTTTTGTGATCTTATGTAAATCTTCTCACTTTTTTTCACTTTCTTCTCCAAATGCTTAATCTTCTTCACTAGTGATTCAGATTCAGCTATTAAAACCCCATTCTCGTGTAACAAGTTCCCATTTTTCACTAATAATCTAGCATTTTCCTTCATCAAATCATCATTTGCCTTTATCAAATTAGCCCTTTGCTTCATTAAATCATTATTTTCCTTGATTAGATCAGCATTTTCCTTCTACAGCCTTTCATTCTCGAACTAAAATCGAAGCTGCTTATCTTTCAACCTTAGTAATAGATCCCTTGCTCTACCCTTAATCACCTTATCACTAGGAATAAAAGGAAAGAACTTGCAAGGCTTTCTAATCTAAACAACACAAAAGTTAAGAAAAAAAAACTTTATGCTTCTAAAACT